GATGGAAGAACAAGGGAATTCTCCATCATCTTCTATAGATAGCAGCAGTTACCCTTCTCTCTACTCTGCATCTCTCTCTCAATCGACAAGGAGAGACTTGAGCACAGATCTTAGGCTGGGACTCAGCCTATCAACCTCCTCTCTTCATGATAACTATTCCAATGAGAGGTATGTTCATTGCACCTCGCTTCCCGTCGTTTATGTCCTCTCCTATTTGTTTCCTTCTTCTTCTCGATAGATAGCTTGTCCTGATCAAATTCGCTCCTCTTCCATAAAAATCAGCACTTTACTTAATTAGAAACCTCCCCTGCAGTACGTTAATGATATTGTCGAAACGTTAATCTCTTTGTTTGGATCAAATCCAGTAGTTTCGTTTCTCTTGGAATGGCCCCAGCCTTTTATCAAAACTGTAACGATCATATTCATTTTGCTTCCTTTCAATTATACCATATAGTCTATTTGTTCAATTCTATCCGTATTTTATAACTGTACGCTTCAGTTTGTATGCTAACATGTTTCTATTCAGCCTTTTTATCCTCTTTTGTTTTCGTATCTCTGTCATGTTGAGTTTGCGTCTGGTTATGTTTTCCTCGCATTCTTTTAGCAACGACAAACACTTTTTTTTTTCAGTAACATTAAAGCAATCCTATTTACTGTTTTATTTTTCTATTTCATTCTCATATCTTCCGTCTACTCGCATTTGCGTTGGCAACCCATTTGTGAAATGTTTTTCTCTGTCAAATCTTGTTCGTAATTATGGAACAATTGTCTGACTGGCCACCAATCAAACCGCTTCTTAGGAGCACGTTGTCGGAGAAATCGAGCGCCGAGCAGCCATCAAGCTTCTTCGTCAAGGTCTACATGGAGGGAATCCCTATCGGCAGAAAACTCGATCTCTTCACTCTCGATGGATACCAAAGCTTGATAAGGACACTGACACGAATGTTTCGAACTACCATCATAGGTAATAGTTAATCGTACACAACATTTTGTTGTAATATCCAAATGTAAACTGGATCTATTCTTCTGTTTGTTATATATTTAACTCATTAATGTTTTTAATCAAGTATGGATATATGCAGGTCCTAATGTTGGCCAAGTATCATCGAGTAAAGCCCACGTGTTGACGTACGAAGATCAGGAGGGGGACTGGATGATGGTGGGAGATGTTCCTTGGGAGTAAGTCTCGTGACAAATTTCAACATAAATTTTATTCTATGCTTTTTATTTAGGATATATGTCTATAACAACAGCCTGAACTTTGGGAGATGTGTACATGTTCCCCTGAACTTCGTAAATAAGATCAGAAAATCCTCCGACTTTTTCTAACTTAGCTATATATGTCAACTAGAAAGTTGTCAAGTTCTTCGCAGGTGACAACTTCTGGACAATTTTGTCCCCATGTAACTTCTACATTACCCTGGGTTAATTGCTAACAGACCCTTGTAGTATTATCCAATTGCGGACAGAACTCTTGTAGCTCTATTTTTGCGAATAGTTGGTGAAATTTCTTTTTTTAGTCTTAAAACCATTAAAGGTTTGAGGTGGTGAGGATCTAGCAGTGAGGATAAAGCCTCGATTTTAATGTAAAAGAGTTAGAATATTCACACCTAGACCAATACTATAAGGGGGTCTATTTGCAACCGGATGATACTATATGGCTCTATGCACAGTTAATCCTATTCACTATTAACCCTAGTATCTTTGTCAAGAAATGATGGGTAGAAAATAAAAAAAAAATGAAAAGAAGTGGGGAACGGGGGTTTAATGTAAACTTTGGAAGTTTAGGGGTATTATATGATTTACCAAGTTCAGAGGGCTTTTGTGCAATGCCCCTTCCCTAAACCCCAATCCCAATGCTACAAAAGAAGGTCAATTTGCAACTGGGTGATACTACAGGGGTCTATTCACAATTAACCCTAGTATCTTTGTCAAGAAAGGATGGGTTGAAAATAAAAAATGGAAAAAAAATTAAAAAGTAGTGGGGGAAAGGGGGTTTATATTTGTTTCCTTAATTTTCTACCCAATCTTTTCTTGACAAAGATACTAGGGTTAATTGTAAATAGACCCCTGTAGTACTACCCAATTGTAAATAGACCCCATTGTAGTATTGGTCTAGGTGTAAATACCTTGTTAGTGAACTTTTCTGACTCATTTAAAATTCATTGTGAAAATTACCCTTTAATTTAATTTCTCCGACCAAAAAGGGAAAAAATTAAAAAGAAAATTCATTGTGAAATTTACCCTTTAATTTAATTTCTCTGACTTGATTTTTGTTTTTTTTTTTGTAGGATGTTTTTGATCACTGTAAAGAGAATAAAGATTGCAAGGGCTGATAGGTGCTAGAGCTCTGCTTTGTCTGCAATATCAATTTTGTCAAGTAGTCTTATGCTTAAGATATTGATCGGAGAAGATAAGAGAGTCGATATGTACAGTATATTGATATATTAATGAGATGTATTTAGCTTTATCATTAATTATTACTATTATTATTATTTTAAATGACAAAGTTTCTTAGTATATATTTCAAAATTTTGACATATTCCAGTAGCAGAGAACTTCACCGGCGGCTTAATTAAAAGGTATAGAGCTTCTGGAAATAGGTTTAAAGCCTTTGGGTGACCGATATTTCTCCTTCATTTTCTTCTTCTTTCTGTCATCGTTTTCTTGTTTTATAAGTTTTGGTAACAAATAATTATCGTAATATCTAACAGGAATCATATTAGAACTGCCGGCATGGTGGCAGACGGTTCTAAACCTGCCATAGGGAGGATGACTTGCAATTAAAAAAGAGAAATATCAACCCCCAACAACTCAAGTTTTGAAAATTGTGAATCTCTCTGGAAAATTTTATACAAACAGTCCGTGCAAGTTTCAGAAATTTAATAATTCCCCTTAAAAATTTACAAAGAATTCCCTAAAAGTTTTTAGAATTTACGATACCCCCTAAGAAATTTACAGATACCCCTTGAAAGTTTTAGAATTTGCAAATTATTCCCAAATAAAATTATAACCAACCCCTTGACAATTTTTAAAATTATAAATACCACTAATTTTATTATAATATACAAATTCCCTTGGGAATGCATAAGGTGAAGAAGATAATGTGCATAGGAAGTCTCATGTTCCTAATACTATAGGGTAGCGAAACTTCCTACTATATTTATTTTGGGGATCAGAAGGAAGTCCTGATATCACCCGTGTCATAGTTCCGAAGAACCAATTAAATGAAACTTAATTGGTACTTGAGCACTGTTAGTTTTAATATTGAAGGAGACAGAAATTCTGAGGCGTGAAACACTTTCCTTAAAGAAATATTTGCCCCCACTTAATATTTAAAGTTGCTTCGGGTTAATGCAAATTTTCTTCCCAGGATACAACAGAAAATGAAAATTCCAGTAAGCAAATCTGGAATTTTCCTTAATTCGTTGTGAAACAAGTTTGTAATATTGCAGAAGTTTTTGATAGAAAAGATTCAGAAAAGAATTGTTAATAGATATCTGAAAACATAAACTATTTATAGGTTTTGAAAAGGTGCTTCCAACAGTCACAACTTTTCAAAACACCCCTTGGAACAAACAGCCACTTTTCAACAGTCACTTGTCTTTTCATAATTTTTAAATTTCGAAATATTATTAAAAATAAAATATATTCAATATATAATTATATATATTAAAAAATATAACATTTAAGCGGTAGCGGCAAGCGTGCAAAGTGCTAAGTGCGTCTAATAATCGCGTCAAAATCGCGCATTATTCGCGTTACCCGCACGCGGGTTTAGAAGCCTATACTTTGATCCATTATTCAAAGCTCACTAAGCATTCAATGCTTTTAAACCTCTAAAACAATGCTCAAAATTCCAATGTGGGACTATCTTGTTTTTTACAAACAAATACTAACAATCCCCCACTTTGTTTGAAAAAACATTTTAATAGTATTATATTTAAAAATAATCTGCAATATATACAAAATGAGATAAGTATACATATGTAGAGGTATCTTTCGATTTAAACCTTTACTTAGTACAAATACCTCAAAGTTCTATCAAAGTCGTTAGTTGCCTTAACATTAAACTAATTACTCTTTGTGATAGAACCGGAGAATATTGTACATACACTAATCTCTTGTTTCAATGAGAATTAATATTTTAGCACTGTTATGGCCTTGTGCTTATTCCTGGTTCATGAACTCTTTAAAGAACAAACCTTTAGTTCTTTTAAGAAGCGGCACCACTTCTAAGTTCATATAGGTGAAACGTCTACAATGTGTTTTCCATTACTTTAAACACACAACAATAATGTATTAGACTTTCATTAAGAGCATAACTCATCCTCTTATTTCGTAATGGACGATATTGACATTATCTTTTAGGGCTTAATGCGTCAATATCAATCAACCACTTTCAGAAACTTGTTATTACCCATTTAAACCATTTAACCAGTTTAGTTCTAGCTAGTAAATGGTTGGGTTACCATTCCTGGTGATTTTTAAATATAAGGTTTTAGCCCCATTTCACTTGATGTCATCTTTACTACCTCTCTTGCTAGAGGTTTTGTAAATGGATCAGCCAAATTTTTATTTGTCTTAACATAGACAATAGTTATGACACTATCTTGTATCAAGTGTCTCACATATTCATGTCTTAGACTTATGTGTCTAGACTTACCATTATATGTACAATTATAAGCCCTTGACAAAGTGGCTTGACTATCACAATAGATAGAGATAGGAGGCATTGGACTCGGCCATAACTTAATATCTAGCAATAAGTTCCTAATCCATTCAGCCTCTTTACCAGTTGCTGCTAAAGCAATGAATTCAGATTCCATGGTGGAGTGTGAGATACATGTTTGTTTCTTACTTGCCCAAGAAACTGCTCCTCCACCAAGTGTAAAAACCATTCCAGAAGTGGATTGGTTGTCTCCAACACTAGTCATCCAGCTTGCATCGGTGTATCCTTCTAATACAGCCGGATAATCATTATAGAACAAACACAGATTTTTGGTTTTCTTTAAATATCCAAAAATCCTGGAAATGCTTTTCCAATGTTCTACACTTGGATTACTAGTGTATCTACTTAATTTGCATACAGCAAATGAAATATCAGGTCCAGTACAATGCATGGCATACATTAAAGAACCAATTGCACTAGCATATTCAAGCTGTGCTACAGCTCTACCAGAATTGGCAGTCAATTTGACACTGGGATCAAAAGGAGTGTTAACTTCTTTAAAACCAAGATGATTAAATTTATTCACTATTTTTTCAATATAATGTGATTGGCTTAAAGAAAAACCCCCACTATGTTTTCTAACTTTGATCCCTAAAATAGTATCCGCTTCTCCTAAATCTTTCATTTTAAACATAGAAGATAGATACTCTTTAGTCTCATTTATGCCAATCATATTAGTGCCGAATATTAACATGTCATCCACATACAAGCAGACAAGCACACCATATTTATCAGTGAATTTAGAATAAATACACTTATCAGCACTATTATGTTTGAAACCATAAGATAGAATAACAGAATCAAACTTTTCATGCCATTGTTTTGGTGCTTGTTTAAGACCATAAAGAGATTTAATTAGTTTACATACTTTTCTTTCATTTCCTGGAAGAATGAAACCTTCCGGTTGTTCCATGTAAACTTCCTCATTTAAATCTCCATTTAAAAAAGCAGTCTTGACATCCATTTGATGCACAAATAACTTATGTATAGATGCCAAAGCAATAAGAATTCTAATAGATGTTATACGTGCGACAGGTGCATATGTATCAAAATAATCTATGCCTTCTTTTTGTCTAAACCCTTTGGCTACTAATCTAGCCTTAAAAGCTTGAACAGAACCATCAGAATGATATTTTCTTCTAAAAACCCATTTACATCCTATTGGCTTTGATCCTTGAGGTAAATCTACTAAAATCCAAGTACTATTTCCCATTATAGAATCCATTTCATCATTGACAGCTTCTTTCCAAAATGAAGCATCTCTAGATGACATTGCTTCTATAAAGGTTTTAGGATCATCATCTGGATTAAAACTTATAGGATGTTTATTTAAAACATTATTATTCCTATCACCTTCAACAAGAAAAATAATTTGTTCAGGAGAAATAAAATCTGAAGGTAAAGATTTCTCTTTTCTTACTCTAGTACTTCTTCTTGGCTCTGATATTTCTTTAGATATATTCGTTTCCTTAGCATGAAAATCAGAACTAGAAAAATTATTAGAGTTAAGCAGAATAGGAACATTTTCAACATTTTCAGAATCTACAGAAAATTTATTTTCAAAGAATTCAACATCTCTAGATTCAACAATAGTATTAGAAGATAAATCAAGTAGTCTATATGCTTTGCTATTTTCAGCATATCCGACAAAAACACTTTTAAAGGCTCTAGGTCCAAGTTTTGTTCTTTTAGGATCAGGAACTCTATAATAAGCCAAACACCCCCACACTTTAAAATATGACAGATTAGGCTTTCTACCTTTCCATAACTCATAAGGGCTTATATTTGACTTTTTAGAGGGAATCCTATTATGAATATAACATGCTGTGTACAAAGCTTCTCCCCATAAATTTAAAGGTAACTTAGCATTATTAAGCATACAATTTATCATTTCTTGTAAAGTTCTATTTTTTCTTTCGGCTAAACCATTCTGTTGGGGAGTATAAGGTGCTGTACATTGATGAATAATGCCATGTTCTTCACAAAAAGTATTAAAATTATCAGAAAAATATTCACCACCTCTATCAGAACGTAATACTTTAATTTTCCTTTCAAGTTGATTTTCAACTTCTGTTTTGTATTTTTTAAACATATCAAAAGCTTCATCTTTTGTTCTTAAAAGATAAACATACATATATCTACTGCAATCATCAACAAAAGTGATAAAGTATCTTTTTCCTCCTCTAGTTAACATACCATTCAATTCACATATATCAGAATGTATTAAATCTAAAACTTTAGAATCTTTGCGAGAAACACTTGGAAAAGATTTCTTTGTTAATTTAGACTTAGCACAAATTTTACATTTATCAAATTCACCATTAAAGTTAATGAAGTCTAACTTTCTCATATTTTTCAAATAGCGAAAATTTAAATGTGCTAAGCGATCATGCCATAAATATGAAGACTCAACAATATAAACAGAAGATATAACTTTATTATTAATACTTAGTTGATACATTCCATCACAAGAGTAGCCCTTTCCCACAAACATCCCGTTCTTAGACAGGATAACATTATTTGACTCAAAAGCAACCCGAAACCCTTTCTTACAAAGAAGATCAACAGAAACTAAGTTCTTTCTAACTTCGGGTACATACAGAACATTTATAAGAGTCAATTTCTTTCCAGAAGTAAAATCTATATCAACAGTCCCTTTTCCAGCAACCTTTGCACAAGCATTATTCCCCATTTGCACTTCTGTAATTTCCGAAATTTCTTCAAATCCTTTGAACAAGG